CTCCCGGCCAGCCCCTCTTCCCCCCGATTTCCCCCCTTCCACCTCCCTTCCTCCCGGCCAGCCCCGCCCCCCTCTCGGCCGGTCCTTCCCCGCCCACGATCAAGTGTGTCCAGTATTTTGGGGGGGGTCTACCTGGTAACCCTACCTTAGAGGGTTGTTGGAATTTGTCCACTGCTTGGTAAATTGCATAAGTGAGCTATCTAAAGGCAATGTGGTAGCCTTTCTTTCATTTGAGGTAGCCCACCGCAGATCTGTAGTAAGCAGGTGTAACTCTAGAAATTTGGTCCCATACTTCGTCTATAGTACTGTTGCTCTGTGCCATTAATCAGCTGCTGTATTTCATTCCAGAAGTGGCAGCATTTCATCGGTGAGTAATACATATAGTTAGTATATCTCTTTGCTCCTTTCATACAGGGGTTAGGGTCCTTGGAATGGCAGGTTCTCTATAAACGATCAATGCCAGGCTAAGGTTTAGCATGCCTGACCACTGCTTAGAGAGGTCCTTGTTCTGGGAGGAAAGAGTTTCTGTCTCTTTTCTTGCCTCTTTGCCGACCAAATCCAAGGCCCATTAAAGTCCATGGAAACACTTCCGCTAATTCAGTGGGTGTGGCCTTGGGCCCTGTGTCTCCTGTTTTCTCCCAAATTGGGAATCTTTCTGGCCTCAGTGGCTTTGAGGCAAGTCTCCTTTAAAAGCATAAAAGCCAGGCTGTTCATCATCATCATTGTTCCCTCTGCAGTCATAACTGGCCCCTTGCACATGCAGGATGTGGAATGTTAATATATGGCTACGTCTACACTGGCCCCTTTTCCGGAAGGGGCATGTTAATTTCAGCGATCGTAATAGGGAAATGCGCGGGGGATTTAAATATCCCCCGCGGCATTTAAATAAAAATGTCCGCCGCTTTTTTCCGGCTTTTAGAAAAGCCGGAAAAGAGCGTCTATCCTGGCCCCGATCCTCCGGAAAAAGCGCCCTTTTCCGGAGGCTCTTATTCCTACTTCAAAGTATTCCTACTTTCAAAGTATTCCTTTGAAGTAGGAATAAGAGCCTCCGGAAAAGGGCGCTTTTTCCGGAGGATCGGGGCCAGTGTAGACGCTCTTTTCCGGCTTTTTTAAAAGCCGGAAAAAAGCGGCGGACATTTTTATTTAAATGCCGCGGGGGATATTTAAATCCCCCGCGCATTGCCCTACTACGGCCTCATCACTAGGATTCAGTCCCCACAAATGCTGGAATATGGGCAAGTGATCTATCTACGGTGGCTATGGACTGCCTCAGCCTCGACCTTCTAGTCACTCGTCATGTGGAAGATGATTGATAGACTGCTACAACATCTGTTTAAATCACTGGTCTTTGGATTAGCCTCTAAATGCCACCTATCACCTTGAATCACCAGAACTAAGTGCAGACACTGTTTATGGCCAAACCCCAGATGCAGTTTGGGGCCAAATAGAGACACTGCCTACCAGCTCCCATTTATCTGAACAGATTTGGTGTCACCCAAATAGTTTTTGGATAATCAGGATTCTGCTATAATTTTTATTTAGATCCATTTAAAGACATTTAACAGTTTGTCTTTTTCCTTTCTTTGGTGCTGTTTAAATTCAACCCCAGCACCATGCCCAGAAAGCCTGCTAGGCTGTGATTTTTCTCTCTTCCCCACCCCGTTTTAATGAAAACTGTTTTCACAGTCAGTTTGCTTTCGTTATTATTTTATGACTCTCTGTGAGCTTTGGCTGTGCTGGAGCGTTTGTCTAGCCTCTCCCATACATCAGCCATCTGTGCTTTACTGAAAGACAATGAAATAGATTCAATTTCTTGACTCACATCTGTGCCTAGCTGTGTTCAGTTTGGTCCTAATCCCACTACTGACTCCATGTTGGCAGTCCCCTGTGCCCTCATGAAGACCCACCGACTTCAGTGGGGTTCTGTGTGAAAATAAGGGTCTGCCCACACATTTGCCTCAAATCAAGGAAGTGTCCCTAATCAGGAAAGGTGCTTAGTGGGACATAAAAACACACAGCGATTTTTATGATGTGCTTAACTTCAAGTAAGACTTAATCACGTGCTTGAAGTCAATGAAGTCTGTCTACACTCAGGAAAGCACTTTAAACACATGCTTAAATGTTCTCCTGAATCAGGGCTGAAGTTGCTTGCAGAACCGGTGCCAGAGATTCTGAATGCTTATATGCCGGGACCCTGCATTTCTCTATGTTCAGCACCAAACACAATACAGAGCAGGAAGAATCCAGCAGTTGGTCAGAGCCAAGGGACATTGGGTAAGATAACCATCAGGAGCAACAACTGTCAAATAAGCCACTCAGCCACAACTGTCAAATAATTTTTACTGTCATATAATATTGTATACAGGAGACCAGTACATTAAACCTGTAACTCAAAGAAGGAAGCCACATTCACTTTCTTCTTTGTGCCTGCTTTTTCTGTAGTATGGGGGAGAAACAGTGTAAACAAAATGTCAGGAAAGAGGTGCACTTTATACTGCAATGGACGAGTAATAAAGAATCTAGATGCTTTCATTCCACATGATGCAGCTCATCTTCATTTTAATATCCAGGGAAAGCATCTGCTTTATTTATTTATATATAAATAATCGTCAGAGCAATTTATGTAATTTCTTTCCTATGCTGAAGTCCAAGTATTCATCCAGAAAGCTGTTACTAATTCCAGCTGCACCCAGGGCCATCAGTGAGAGCAGAACCACCATACTCCAATAAAAACCTGTTATCCTAGAGGAGGAAAACAGAAAGAAACACAGTTACAAGATGTACAAACTGTGTGCGCTGTGAAACTTTTCAGTCTATACGAGCTGGTCTATACTTGTTTATACTGTGCTGAAGAAAAATGAGCCACTGATGAAAATGGTTTGGAAAAAAAATGACCTTTTCATCCAAAGATGATTTTTGCAGGGAAAACTAGTCCATTTTCCTCTCTGGAAATGGTGATGTTCCCCTGAGGTAGTTGTGTGAACAATTTGCAGTTTTTTCCAGGATGGGATTGATCACAGCATAAAGAATTAGTCACTGGCTTGAAATGGAAAAATGTCACCAACCTAGCCCTGCAAATGTGGTTGTAGCCAGGTGGGACCAATCAGCTAATTAGACTGCAGAGGAATCTTAGACTGGAGGAAGCTAATTAAGAACAGGCTTTAAAGAGGCCCTGCAGGAACAGGCAGAGTCTGTATAAAGTAAGGTGACCAGAATTTGAAAATGTCTGAGAAGGACACTGAATTGACAAAAAATAACAACACCATACTTGTATATTAGGGTTGCCAGATGGTCGAGCAAAAAAAGCAGGGTTTTTTTTTTTTTTTTTTGGCAAAGTAGGAAAAGAAGGACAATTTTTTCAAAGGAGGACATAATTATTGGGGAGGACAAGCCCCTCAAAGGAGGATGCCTGGTCACCTTATATAAAACCAAGTAGCTGGTTGCAGAGCGGGGACTGTTGCTACTACTGAGAAATGCTGTAGTGACTCCCTGAATAGACGGTGTTGGAGGCCGGCAAACTCAGAGAGGTGGGAAGAAGCCAAGGGAAACAGCAGCAAGTTCTGTAAAGCCAGGAACTGTGGTTGCTTGGTATAGGATCTCTTTAGCCCTATACATGGACTGTGACTGTTTGGAACCCGTTGGTCTGTAATCCATTGTTGTGGCCTGGGTTCCCCTGCCATCCACTGGGGAGTAGCAAGGGCAGCGGGTCTAGACACTGTGGCTGTGTCTACACTGGCCACTTATTCTGGAAAAGCAGCTGCTTTTCCGGAATAACTTGCCAGCTGTCTACACTGGCCGCTTGCTTTTCCGGAAAAGCAATGACAATCTAATGTAAAATCGTCATTGTTTTTCTGGAAAAACTATGCTGCTCCCGTTCGGGCAAAAGTCCTTTTCTGGAAAAACTGTTCCGGAAAAGGGCCAGTGTAGACAGCACAGTAGTCTTTTCTGCAAAAAAGCCCCGATCGCGAAAATGACAATCGGGGCTTTTTTGCGGAAAACCGCGTCTACATTGGCCACGGGCGCTTTTCCGGAAAAAGTGCTTTTCCGGAAAAGCATCCTGCCAATGTAGACGCGCTTTTCCAGAAATATTTATAACGGAAAACTGTTCCGTTTTAAGCATTTCCAGAAAAGGGTGCCAGTGTAGACGTAGCCACTGTGAATTCCCCAGAAGAACTTTGTGGCTTGCGCAATCAGCCAGGTCACTAAAGAGGAAGCAGTAAACCTGGCAGTGAGCTGGCCAGCAGAGCAAGACAAGATGGGAGAAGACAATATTGGAGGGGCATATAAACTGGAATAGCTCATCCCTAGGCCAGCTAAGAGGAGATGCTGTTGCGGTGAGTGGACTCATGTTGGTCATCACTTACCAAATTTTACTAATGCTCCGGACAGCATGACAGTGTAGAAACCATTTCATATTTAGCTAGAAGCCATCTTGTATAACAGAAACCATTTCAGCTTTCTGCTTCTGCACATATACCAGAGTGAACTTTCTGTTACCCCAGGACAGAGGCCTGCAGGATGAGCTATTGGTATGTGTTAATTGGGCTGGTTGAGAAGGAAGATTCACTCCCGAATACCTGCCCACCATCTTGCTGATAAGACTTTGATTTTCCAAGTTGAATTGATGATTTCTGTAATTGGATGCCCTGACGTCAGACTGTTTGGCTAAGGGTATAAAGATTCTAGGATTGATTGTATTAGCCAGCCTTACCGGGCCCGGCTCTGCTTTGCTTTATTGATCAATAAAGCTGTCTGTTTTGCCGCCTAAACTGAGTGAGGCCTTTGCCTCGACAACAGCCTTCTTGCAAAGCTGGGAGGTTGGCACTACGCTACTGCAGACATGTGGGGTCAGATACATAGACTCTCTCAGTGATAGTGGGTTATTAGTCCAATTTCTAGTGTGCAGGTGTCCTTATTAATGCTGGCAACGTTGTCAGTCAAAGCTGAGAGCTAAAGTAAGGAGCATGGGGACTGCATTGCCCCCTTATGGACAGGACTGTCCTCTCCAGATTGAGAGCTACTGACTAAGGGTATGTCTAGACTACATGCCTCTGTCGTCAGAGGCATGTAGATTAGGCTACCAGACATAGGAAAATGAAGCGGCGATTTAAATATTCACCGCTTCATTTAAATTTACATGGCTGCCGCGCTGAGCCAACAAACAGCTGATCAGCTGTTTGTCGGCTCAGCACGGAAGCGGCAATTATTTAAATTGCCGCTTCATTTTCCTATGTCCGGTAGCCTAATCTATATGCCTCTGGTGACAGAGGCATGTAGTCTAGACGTACCCTGAGCAGAGTGGACAAACTGTCTCTGTCTGGCCAGTATGTTTTGGGTCCCATTGAGTGTAAGGACTGATCAGTGTGGGCAAGGGCTGCAGAAACAGGCCCTTTTGCCCAGCTCCTCAAAGCTGTTTAACCGTTTAACTCCCATTCCACTCCATGGCCATTAGTGCCTTGAAGAGGTGGGCCTTTGTGAATAACTCAGGGCTGCCAGTCTGGCCCTGGACAGCAGCACTGAACTCAGCTTAAATAACGGAAAGAGAGTTCCACCAAGTAACAAAGAGCAAGCCCCACTATAACAATAGAACCAGGCAATATTTTTGTTTCCTCAAGTACAATTTTGCTCAAGACATAATGGTATCCCTTTATAATGGTATAATATATCAGAGTTGCAGAGGAAAAAAGGGTTCTTAACAAAGGTTTTTTATTTAGTTAACAAAAAAGGCCATTTAATTTCAAAATGTGACATTCCCTCCTAGATTATTCCTTACAGCTGTGGTCCTTTCTGGTTTTTCAGAGGGTTATCCTGATAATTGCAATTGTGACAAAGGGCAAATTTTGGGAGATCATTTTATCTGGGAATCTTTCTCTTTCTCACTCCTTAGGGGCAAGAAGGAAGCCTTACAAAATGGGGCAATGGGACGGGGCAAACAGGCCCCGCACTGAAGGGCTGGGAGCAGCCCAGGCCCAGCTGGCTGAAAGAGGTCTGCCCCTCTGGCCCTACTGGGCCTGCTCCCAGCAGAGCCAGAGTATAAAGGCAGAGGGAGCCCTACAGGAAAGGAGGCAGCTGGAGGGTAGAAGGGCCCAGGCAGCAACCCCAGTGTTCCTGCAGCAGCTGAGGCCAGAGCAAGGGTGAGCATCGGACTCCAGGAGTGAAGCCAGCAGCCAACCCCGCCTGAGGGACTGGACCACCTAGCCCTGGTAAGGACCGACGCCGAGGCAGACAGACTATCGGGGTGCCAGGGCAGTAGGAAGTAGCCCAGGGCAAGGGGTTGCTGTCACAGCTTGGGGTGTATCGGCTGGATTCCCCACCGAGCAGGGAGGAGCAAGAGTCCCTGCCTACAGAGCCCTGGGCTGGGACCCGGTGGAGAGGGAGGGCCCGGGTCCCCCTACCCCCCCTTCCGCACCCTGGGCAAGCACCCCTGGCCGGGAGAGGCTTTTCCCGGGGCTAGGCCTCAGGTACTGTATAGGCCCTGATAGAGAGGCCTGGACTGTACATTGGAACTGTTAGCACCGAATGTGCCCTGATCGAGGGGCCAGGACTGGGGACCTTAGAAGGGGGGCACACCCCACGCCAGGGGCGTCCCCCCCCGACAGGCTACTGGTTGGAACTAGGTATCTTGAGGAACAGGGAAAAGACAGAAGGTTGGCGTTAGTGCATAGATTCAGGAAAGCAGAGCTCAATAGATCTGTTAGGCTTCTAGTGCATTGCTCTGCTACTGGAGGGTTGTTCCCTACAAATGTAAAGTGTGGATTTTTTTTCAGTCTAATTTTAAATGTCTCTGGGAATAGTGAGTTTCTTTTCCTTTAACTTACTGATATGCAGTATTCCATTTTAGAAGGAAACAACCCCTCCTTTTCAATACAGACTGGACCACACTGATTTGGCACCCTCGGGACCTGACTGGTCCCGAATAAGGGGATTTCCCGGACCAGGGGAAGTCCCCTGCTACCAGCCCTCCTCCCCTCCCCACTGCCGGCCCTAGTTGCCCCCTTTGCTGGGCTCCCATGTTACTGCAGCCCCGGCCCTGCTACCAGGGCTGCTGTGGCTGCCTCATCCCTAGCCCCAGCTCTACTACTGGGACTGCTGCATCCCCGGCTTCGGTCTTAGCCCCAGTAATGAACCACGGATCATGGATGTTGCTGAACAAGAGAGTCCCAGTTTTGAGAAGTCCAACTGTACCTGATTTTTAGGCAATCCGGGATAATCCAGTACAGAGATAAAAGAGGGGAGTGTGTGTGTGTGTGTGTGTACACATGCACCTGCAATCAGTGGAAGCGTCCGATTTTGAAAGGGAGAGTGGCAGGTAGTGATCTTGCATGGATTCTAAACCTATTACATGTTTATGCCCCTTCAAGTCTTAGGAAGAGTAGTTCAAACACTGTAAACTTAACACACATTAAGTTGTGCCATCTAAAGCCTCCTTATCTTGTGTTTGGTGAGAGCTCCTCTAGCTACAAGGCCAAAATTGTTGGCTTGTTCCCGTTGTGTATTCTGTATGGTCTACATAATAAATGTGTTAATACAATGATTTTACTACAGGTTGGACCTGGTCCAGCACCTTAAGGGATTTGCTGGACCATGGAAGGCCACCGCCCATTGTTGTGCTGCCACCGGGCTAGGGCTCCAGCCTGCCCCTGCTGCTGCCTCAGCCCCTGCTGCTGCCTCAGCCCCCGGAGCTATCCCTGGCCCTGATACGCAGCCAGGCAGAGTTCCACAGCCACCTGGCTACATGGTTGGGGCCAGAGGGATGGCAATGTTGCTCCACAGTCCAGGCCACAGCTCCCTGGCTGCCGCTGGGGCTGGGGCTGGAGTTCTCCAGCCTCTGGAGCCAGAACATGGCCAAGGACAGAGCCAGAGCTCCCTGGAGGCCAGTAGCCGGGGCTGGAGGCCCATGACCATGGCAGGGAGCTCTGCTGAGGCCAGAACTCCTGGCCAAGCCATCCATCCTTCCCTTTCTCTCCACATGCTCTGGGTTCCTGGCTGAGTCACTGGTGCCCCTTATGGTGCTCCTGCCCCACCACCAAACCTTCCTCTTCTTGAGCTCTGTGGTCCAGGAACATCTATAGGCCGTGCTGGACCAGGGAGTCCCGGTTAAGGGAGATACAACCTGTACTAATAAATTGAGAAAATGCTAGCAGGAGTACAAGCCAGACAGGTTTCATGCAAGCTTAACTTCAGCAGTTTCCCAAAGAAGTGCAATCCTCTCTGCAAAGCTCTAGGGTTTCTATTTCTGGGCCTTTTCTGTGCACATATGCCAACCCTGGTGGACTGTGTGGTGTAAAGCAGTGTTCCTTGTAAAATGAGTACATGGGCAGCCACTCAGGAGAGATTCAAATGCTGCCTAGCTGATTAGTAGCGCACCCACCATGCCTCTAACTTGCAGCATGTGTCTGCTGGTGGTGCACATAAACACATGCCTCAGTGCACATAACTAAACTTATTCTGCACATGGATAGAAAAATTAGAACATTAGTGGAAGTAGGCACCCACAAGGCATTACACTGAAACTAGCAAACCTCCTTTCTCTTGCCACCTGCAGGACATTCCCACTTTAACCTAGTCTGCTGCAACTGTAACCAGCTACCTTTCCTGAGGCTTTTCATTTCATACTTCTTCCTGGCACTTTACACTCATTGCATTCAATTAGTCATTTTTCACTACCAGTTGTTGACTGTAAGCCCAGTGTCAGACCACAGCCTGGTGCATTCAACCTAAGCCCAGACAGTGGGTCCTTCTTACCTTCCTTTTGCAGATTCTGCATATCCGTGGAAGTACTTGTGACGGCTATACATGTATACCAAACCCAGAAGGGCAGCCAGTTCTGAAGAAGAAAGATATTAATGGGAGAGAAAGTTAATGGAGTATTTAAAAATCAGGACTGGAAGGAACTAGTCACTTTTGACTGTGATTATTTATGTGGTGCCAGGGTGGCATTTGAATGACATCTCAACCACTTGGTGCAAACAGTCACACTGTGTTTCTGAAACAAGAGACTCTTTTTGTCTACTTATTTTATTTGTTGCTATTGGTACTTTGCATTTATTTAGCATCTTTTAGCCAAGGATGTGGAAGAGTGGTACACACTGTAATGAGTTAAGCTCATTTGATATTCCTCTGAGCTAGGTAAAATATCCCCATTTTACAGCTGGAGAGAATTGAAGACCTGAAAGGACATACCCTGCCAGTGGTCATGTGGAAGTCAATATCAATGCTAGTCCTAGAATGTATAGCGTGTGCTACTTCAGTCCTGAGCTTGTACCCACAAGCCCTAGCTGTCCTCCCTTTGTTTAATTAGCTGATTAGTAGTGTACAGGTGAATTTATGGACTGGAAGGAGTGAAAACTTTCTTCTGCAATTCAAAAGCCTACTCTGTTTGGAGAGCTTCACTTCACTGCCTTACCACCAGCTTAGCCATAACCTAGAAAAACCACTTTTCTCTAAAGGTAAGAGGTAGATCGGTCCCCACAACGTGGAATTCATTTAGTAGAGACATCACAATTCATGGAAAGTGTCCAATATTTTTGGAGTAAACTGAGAAAGGGATGATCACAACGTGGGGACTCATTTAGTAGAGACATCACAATTCACGGAAAGTGTCCAATATTTTTGGAGTAAACTGAGAAAGGGATGAATAACTTAGTCACAACAAGCCAGAAAACAGGTGTAAGGAATCTAAATGATGCCCTGTACATAACAGATAAACATAGGGGTTCAACAACTGTTGAACAGCAATAGAGCTAGATTTCAAAGCGTCAAAACAGGGGTAAGGAATCTAAAGGATGCCCTGTACGTAACAGATAAACATAGGGGTTCAACAACTGTTGAACAGCAATAGAGCTAGATTTCAAAGCGTCAAAAGTCTGACAAAGTCTTCCTGCCCCCCATCAATGGGACCGCATGGCCAACTGTTTCCACAGCTCTTGAATTCACTCTGAACTGTTCAGGGCCTGATCTCACTTATGCTGGTGCTACTTAATGGACTGAAGCAGAATTATTCCCAGTTTACCCAGGTGTCAAAAGAGAGTGGCCTCAGAAGGGTCTCCAAACTCTGTTTCTCTCCCCCTCCCCTCCCCCCCCCGGCCCCTTTAAGAAGATAGACCTAAATCAGCCCATATCAAGAAATCAGTAAAATCACGCTGTAGTCACAAAATAATATCCTTGTTCTTCTGGGATGCCTTCACGCCATCCTGGGTGAGCCAGCAATAGCACAAGGTACTGCACAAAGGGAGCTAAATACTGACGGTACGCAATGGCCAGCAGAGCACCTGTGCTTTCTCCGATAGGAGTTTCTTGTGTAAGAAACCCCTCATCTGTTTCAGCATCATTCAGACTGAACACTAGGCAGTGCTGCTAGACTCAGTGAGGCAACAAATTGAGTCCCCTAGTCTTTTAGTATAAAGAAATAAATATTTGAGGAAAAAATCTTTTACCGTGTTCCCCACTGATGTCAGTGAAGAAGAGACCATTACTGGGCATGTGGAGTAGGAAAAATAATTTAAATCACAAGTTAACCTGAACCTTTGCCTCTCCTTTCCTCTCAAAAGAGACACCACAGCAGGTGGCTGTGATGTTGGCTAGCAAACACTTCTGTCTTTTCTAAGACTAGTACTGATTGGGTGGCACCAGTATGAATCTCCATTGATTTCATTGGCATTACTCTGGATTTATATTGGCAAATATAAGATTCGAATCTGTTTTGGGAGGGGAGGCAGTTTTCCTACAATGAGGCAAGTTTTGGAGGCTATCACTTATCACCTGTAAAACAGAGAAACTGGTACCTTTAATGAATGTAAAAATGGAGAGAATATTAGTAGCCAGGATGAGAAGAGCCAAAAAACGGAGGAAATTAAATGGCACGGAAACTTGTGCAACTTCTCCCCAGCCACCCTGACTCCTCTAGACCAGTGCACCAGCCAAAGAAAGAGTTATTAAGAAAACCGAGAAGAGGACAAAGCTGACTGTTTCCACAGGAGCAGTTACAAGAGATCTAGATCCAAAGGGAGCCAATGCCATCATCACTAGGAGATTCATGGACGGTGTCATGGTCTTCCTGGATGGCTGAGAAAGCCAAGGTCTTGTCCGTATGAACATACTATAAACAGAGGTGAGCAACATTTTCAGATTGTTTATTTGCTCCAAAAAAATGCAGCTTTGGGTCAACCAGAACTATTTGTAAATTTGGGTCATATCTGAAGAATAGTTTCCTCTCCCCGCAAAGCCTCCTGAAAATGTTGATGTTTTTATTTAAACATTTTCTAAGTGTAAACGTTTTATTCAAAATCTGCTGTGTTGCAAGTTAGCTGGACATATTTTTTTTTTAAAGGGAAAAGGGAAAAGAAACCTGAATATGAAACATTTTTTAAAATTAAGGGGGAAAATGCATTTCAGGTTGGAAGAAAGCATTTTGATCCAAAAATAATTTTTCCTCTGAATTTCTGATTTGGTCACCAATCTGAAAAATCAATTTGCTCTTTTCTAATCAGTGTTCTCTGTAAGCTGGACGCTTGTGCAGCCACTCAAAAAAGACTCAAATGATGCCCAGCTGGTTAGCAAAGTGCCCATACGTAGGTTTTTGTTTCTACTGGGGATGTGCATGCAAATGTCTCGGTGCACATAAATTTATTCCACATACGGATGGAAAAGATTAAAGGGAACATTGGTTCTAATTCTGAATCCTCCATTCCAGCACTGGTGCAGCTTCCCCTGTGCTGTCAGTGCTGTTGTAACTGCTAGTGTAGACAAGACCTCTTCCTGTCTATTCTGACCATTCCTGAATGTTTCCACAGGAGGCTGTTGCTGCTTGGAGACTGGTGACTCTCCCCCTCCAGTGGCTCTGTTAACTTAAAGGTGAAAAGTCTTCTAGGTTGGCAGACCTATTAGTATAACATTGAACCTGTGAAAGAGCCATTATGTGGTAATGAAACCATTTAACAGGCATGTTTCAACCTGAATTTACTGAAACAGTTGCACATTACTATGTCTACAGGGCCTTAGTTTAAAATTCGCTTCAAAATATTTCATTAATTTGTTGCTGAAGATTATAAAATTACATCTCTAAAAAATCTTTGCATAGCATCTTTAGATGCCCAGTCTGAGAATTCAACATTAACCTTAAATGTTTCGATCTTCAGACATAGTTTTTTTAATTAATTCTTTAAAAGACCACCTTTAAATCTGCATTTTAATTATTATAGTACAAAAACTTGCATCCATAATCTTTCTAGCTATCCCTACTCCCCTTTCACCCTGCTGTTGAAGAGAGCCCTTAAACTGGGACAATATTCCTTTTCTTACAGATAGTTGGACAAATAAGTTTCCCTTTTACTTTTCAGTATTTGATTAACTAGTTTTAAGAGAACCCTCCACCAACATCAGTAACTAACTAAGATATAAAATCTTTTGTTACACCTAAAATCTTTAGAAATATATTTTTAACATAGTGAAATTTCATTAACATGCTTAGTTTATTTTGTGTGATTTTCATAAGTTTTCCCTTTTTCTAAAAGCAATGTACTTTGTTATGAACACACTAAACTGCTCTGACTGATTAATTTAAAATGATGTCTTTGTTTCAGTGAGTTTAAATATGTAGTAGTCTGGAATGATTACTTAATGAAGGCTTAAGGATATATTTAAAATAGAAAATGTAAAACAGAGAAGGGCTGCATCATGTATTCCATAATATTTAGGCTACGTCTACACTGCAGGCTTCTTGCACAAAAAGTTTTTGCAGAAGAGATCTTCCACAAAAAGTTATTGCGCAAGAGCACGTCCACACTGCCATGTGCTTTTGCGCAAGAGAGTGTCCACACTGCCATGGATGCTCTTACGCAAGAAAGCTCTGATGGCCATTCTGCGAATGGCTATCAGAGCACCAGTGCTTTCTCCGATAGGTGTTTCTTGTGTAAGAAACCCCTGTTGTCCGTCCACATACACCTTTTTGTGCAAGAGCTCTTGCGCAAAAAGGCTTATTCCTCGTGGAAAGAGAAATGACTCTTATGCAGAAAGCCCCGTCTTCTAACGATCTACTGTATTTTTTCTTGTGCAAAAACGTGCTTGTAGTGTGGACCCTCTGCAAGTTTTTGTGCAAAAATGGCTGGTTTTGCGCAAAACTCTGCAGTGTAGACGTAGTCCCTATGTTGTATTCAGCATCAACAGGACAACTGACTTGCCATTGCAATAAAGCTTTTTTAAAAACATCTCTGATTAACTTCAGGGTGTATCAAAAAACCTGTGACTAACATTTATATTCCCAAATTCAGTGCTTTACATTAGGTACGTTCTGTGCATGTCCAGTCTTGACAATCTGGCATGCAGTGGGAAACATGCTCCATTTTCTTAGACATTTTAGAAGAGTGTCATTCCCTCCCCCCCCCCCCAAACTTCTTTTCATTGCTACATTTGGGATCAGGGATTTGGCTGGAAAGGGTGAGCAGAGAGAAAAGGAAGACAGTGGGGAGGAGAAGGGGTTGGAGCAGTGCAGAGGTGGAGTATGGGTGGGGCCACAGGCTGGGGAGCTTGCCTCCTCAAGTAGCAGCTTCACCAATCACCCATTACCCGCACTGATAAAATATGCAGAAGGATTTAATCCCTCAATCTTTCCCCAGAGCTGAATCACACCCACTTTGCTGAATGGCAAAACAAATAGTCTGATAGATTTGAGATATGTAAATAGAACTGAAATGTAAAAAAAAATCTTGTTCCTTGGGCAATAGGGAGCAATATGTACACACAAAGTGTTCAGAAGTGAGCCCATTAAAGAATATTTAGCCGGTTGTTGAAAACAATTTAAACATCGATCCCAACAGCCCAGACTAATCC